TGTTTCAGCCCTATACAGAGCTATGCTCCAAATGTAGCATTTCACTAGTTTCTTCCTCAAATTTAAGTCCAATTTGCTGGTAAAAAGATTCTTCTTCTTGCTAAATGCAGCTTTTGCCATGGAAATCCTGGATTTAATTTCACTAGTACACCTTCTATCATCTGTTAACAAACAAACCAAATGAAGAAAGCAGTTTTCTGGGATTTGGCACCCTGTATACGTGGTGTTAACCGACGTTTCGGAGGAACGTATCGCCTCCATCTTCAGGGTAGAAGAAAAAATATAAGAAATCTGCAAGCGAGGAGACCGTGAGAACCGGTAAAAGCAGACAAACACAGAAAAACGCACACAAACATCCATGTCCTGAGTGGGATTCGAACCCACGATCCCGGCTTCCGAGCGAGCGAAGACAGTGCATGCCTTAGACCGCTCGACTACCGTGACCGGCAAGCTAAGGTATTATTTTCCATATAACATTAATAATTTTGAACGAGAACACATGCAGCGGGTTTATAACAAAATTGGCAACTAATTTTTTTTTTTCCATAAGAAAACATTTCTTAAGTGTGTACAATTATCCGTGTAACAAGCTCTGTAGTAAGTTTCCAGAATACAAGCTGATAGCCGCTCAGCTCCTCAGCAAAGTCCCTACTCCGATAGAACCCAATTGCTCACAAAGTTCTCTCAAAGGCCTATCACTGGACACTATTCTAATCCCCCTCGATCATATTCACACGTCACAACGTACTTTGCAAGTGCTGTCTCTGTGAAGCAGTTCCTCATGGCCGCCAGCTGCTTCCCAAACTTCTTCGGCTTTACCAGTTTTTACGTCTTCTTGGTGACCATTGCCTGCTGTCAGCTGGAGAAGCTGCGAGCGAACCTCCTGGATATCAGACAGGAATACAAGACACAAGAACAGGACTCGGGTGCTGAGACTGACCGAGAGGAAGAAGAGACCCTAGTACACACGTCTCAGGAAGTGTTCCGTCGGATGCAGGGAGAGCTCAAAGACTGCATACGGCACCACCAGCAGATACTAAGGTGCGTGACCCAAAAAATGCGGCTTAAAATGTTAAGTCAGTATAATTCAAAATGTGATTTATGTTTCATGGCTCAGACAATCCATATATTCAATTACACCTCAATGAAATATGGTGAATAAAACTCACTTTTTTTTTTCGAAAATAATGACATTATGTTTCAGCTGACCTAAATGGAAACCAAATCGAAGTAGGGGAATAAATATACGTATATCACACAAAAAAACATTGACTTCAATGGGACATACATTGTATTTTAGACAAATATTTTCTTCATTTGGTCTGTTGTTTTGAATATCAGACTCGTCAAGTGTCGAAATAGCCTTGATAAAGGAGTTGTTCATGGCAGAATTAACAAAACCTACGTTTCCATTGCGGACTTCTCGTACTAAATCCTCTGTTCTTAACGTCACATTCAGTTAATTTAATCCAACGTTGTCAAAATTGACCCTTAAAATAGCAAGGTAGACTTGTGCAGAAATGGACATTGGATGGAGTACTTTTCGATTCAGATATTTTTATTGTTAGCAATTATTAGTTTTTAAGAATTATTAGTATTATTATCAATATTATTAGAGGGACATAGATGTATTTAGAACAAAAATTCTGTCTCTTAAGTATATTTTATAGTTGCACTCTTAATTATTAATTTTTAAAATACTCCTTTGTTCAGTATTTATATGCTTTGTATACATACATTGTATTTATATTTAATTTTTTTTCTTATTGCATCATGGTTTTGAAGGTGGCATAAACTACTTTATTATCTGAGTGGTACAAGTGGACTAGATTTTGCCTTTGTATGTATGTGTTTATTTTGTTTGTCCTTTTGCTTGTGATTGTGTCAACGTTAGCCTTTGGGTTCCTGAGCTGTTAAAATTACATTATTATTATTATTGTGATTATTATTATTACTGATGTATGACGGAATTTTTATTATTATTATTATTCGTACTATTACTGTTATTGTATGAACTTTTCGTCTTTTTTATTTTGTTTCTAAGTCGTTTGCTGTTGTTTCTTTCTTATTACGCGTGCAAACTTTGTAATTTGCCTCTGGGATAGTAAGTTTCCACATAAATAAATAAGAATATATTTGAAATTGAATTTGAATTGTTATTTGCTTCTGGATATGTTCAGTTTGCATGAAAAGAGTATTAATTCACTTAATTATTTGTAAGAAATTATTACTGAAGTACAGATTTGGTGTACATTATGTGCGAGACATAACCTGAACGGCAATGCTATCATCAGACACAAAGCGCAGCAAATAAAATTCTGAAATTCAACAGCTTATGAAATATTACCGTGAAAAAATAGCATAATTACAATCTGTTATCATACAGCCTCGATTAAATTTTTGCTTGAGAGATTCTACTTCACAGATTCATGCTTCTGGCCTGTTGTTAATATCAATTGTAGGGAAATGAAAATAACGAACTTTAGATGTACTTTAATAACATAATGCTGATACCACACTTTATGAAAGTGATTGAATTTGTTTAGAAGTCTGAACGTGAAGTAGCCGCATAGGCCAAAACTTACAAAACAAACGAACTTCGTGGTTTTAGTCCGCAAGAGAACTAACTTCGCACTAACTTCGCCGAGAAGCGGCGGTCGCTCTGTTGGTATGGTTCGGTCGGCCTGTGTAAACACATATCGTAATAATCTCATAATGTCATTTTCTTCCTCAAATAAGGAAATTTGGATGAAGTCTTCAAAGATGTCCATTCTAAACTTTATTCAAAAGATACCAGGGACCCCTTATATCGTATTGGCTTTCTGACAGAGCAATTTTCTTTACAGACAAATTTGTCTTTTTTCTGACAGGTACATGAAGGCTTTGGAAGAAGCGATGAACCCAATACTGATGGGCCAGTTCCTTCTAATTTTAACGGGGATGTGTTTTGCAGCCTTCTCTTTTGCCATGGTACGGTATATATTTGTGAATTTTACCGACAGCTTTAGGATAATTAGTTCAAGTACAGGGAACATAATGCATGGTGTACGTATGAGTCGAGAAAATTAGTAAGTTTACTGCCGTAAGAAAAAAAGTGACAGTTTGTTCAGCCAGAATAGACACGCATCCTCTCTTGAGAAGAAGTCTTTTTCAATTTCGACATCTCGAAAATAAAAATCTTTACACTCTGTTGAATTAAGTACTTTCTGTTATGTCCGGGAGTTTTTAAGTTCTCTGAGGCAGTGGCTATGAGGATTACCGTCTCCTACAATATTAGGTCACGTAACCTGGTACATTGTTAATAACGTTTCGGAGTAATTTTTTGTCTCCATAGTCAAAGTAAAAGTGTGTCCTGAAGATGGAGGTAGAGTTATATCTGTTTTCTTTATTAATTCGATTCAAAGACATGCAATTTTAAATAAAATTACTAGGCCATAATTCAGTCGTTCAGGTTGATATAATGTCACTCTCTAGACTTGAACTCGAAAGGTGCTTGGTTCGAATTTTGGACAAACCAGCAGCTATCCTGACTGCGATTTTTCGTGTCTCTTTTTCTTTCCGGTCCCTCCATGAAAATTCCCCGGGGAGGGCCTCGGTTTGGCTGCGGTCGCTTCTATGTAAATACTTTCAGTCTATCCTTAACAAAATATCCTTTCATTCGACGCTACATACTGACAGGTTTAAAAATGAACTACACACGAAATATACTTTTGAGATTGAAAGTACACATGGGGCATTATGTCTGTAAGTTCCATATATAAAATCCTGCCGGACATCCGACGGAGTTCTCAACTAAAGTACAGATATTACCGAAAAATTTATATAGGCCTACATCGCTAGTTGAATCCATTTTACACTTTCATATCACGAATCTATAATCTCTATAAGTAGGTTTCATTCCTTCAGATGTAAATAAGTCCTAAGGACATGGACAAAGAAGTATTAGGGTATAAAATGAAATATAAAAGAAGAATGTTCTATACAATATATAAATATACTCGTACGTGTACGAGTATAATACTTTCATATTGTCTGTGTAGTGACTTTGTTTCTTTACTAAGCAATCACATGTAATTAATTTGTGTTTGATATTCACAAGCTAAGGCATTAATGAGCCGGTCACGGTAGCCGAGCGGTCTAAGGCATGCACTGTCTTCGCTCGCTCGGAAGCCGGGATCGTGGGTTCGAATCCCACTCAGGGCATGGATGTTTGTGTGCGGTTTTCTGTGTTTGTCTACAGGTAGAGGCCTTGCGACGAGCTGATCACTCGCCCAAGGAGTCATACCGTCTGTGTAAGATCTAGAAAAACCGAAGTGAACGGAGAAGTTCATGGAGGTATACCTAGGCCCACTGGGGCTGTAGTGCCAAGGAAAAAAAAAGTTTTAATGATAGGACGGATACAATAATCTTTCACCTTCAGAAACTTAAATGAATAAACGTAAGAATAATTAAATATTTTTACAGCGCATTCAATTTCATCTGTCTTTTAATATATTGAAGTGTTCTGCTGTAGGTTACAATATTTATGAAATTTGTTATAGGAGTATATAGATTATTAAAGACGAGTTTATAAGCATTTAATAAGAGTTTATAAATTATATATGATGTAATAAGTAAGCAATTCCATCATTTCATTAGAGTTTATTTAAAGAAAGCCTAGAAAATGTAGTAGTACTTTTGCCATTATCATATAAATTATGTTCATGATGACATTAAGGAATAAAATAGAGTAAATATTCCTGAGCAGAACAAAATAGAATTGTATATAATAGAACATAGTATAATAGAGTACACTAGAATAAAATGGGATAGAATGGGATATAATAGAATAGAAGAAAACGGAAGAAAGTTGAATAAAATCAATACAATTTCCCTTCTTATCCTCTTTCTGACCAAGTTAAAGCAATAAATAACGTTAAAATATAGTAAAAAATTCTCCATAAATGTAAAATTTTGCCTCCTGTTGTAACAAGGAAATGGATTAAATTATCAGTAAATAGAAGGTTGAAACCTTTGTTCCCAATAGACACCTTTCACAACGCCTAGGATTTGCACTTGCTGGAGACCAGAAGTTATATAACCGAAATAATTTTATGTCCATAACGCAAATGTAATTACTTGTAACTTGTGAATGTGTTCCTCAAATACAAGTCTCATTATGTATAACACGACATAAAAGTGGCCAAATTTATTGACAGCTTTCAAAAATGTGGGAGAATAAGGAAGAGAGTAGCTTGAGGCTGTAAATTTAGCGTAAGGAATATTCACTGTACTGGTTTTGGTAAGAACCATGATGAAACATGCTTTGTGCCCACAGAGCTTCGGAAACGGTTTGCATATGACTCAGGCTGTCTTGGGATACGGCGCATTCTTGGTACAACTCTACGCCTATTGTTGGTTTGGAGGAGAGCTGACTCGACTGGTACTGAAGTAGCATCCCCACAGTGCAGTTGTAGAGGGTGAAATATTCAGCATTGTTACATACAGACAAACCACCCAATCATAATATTAAACGGACCAAATATCCTTCCATAAAAATTTTTGTAAGCATGAGTTATAGATGTCATTATGCCGTTCTGGGTTACCACAGCGACTGAGTGTCCAGCGTTAAGACGTTGCGTGAAGGTACGCCTACGGGCGAGTGAAGACTTCTGTTTGTGTATTGTGTGTATTAGGCGAGTATCGATAAAATTTGCCGGTCGATGTGGATTCGTTGCGCTGACCACGCGATACCCTCTATCCGCTAGAGTTGTCACTAACTTCGCCGACAAAGGGCGGTCGCTCGGTCGATTTAGTTCGCTTGCGGACTAAAGTCACTGAGTTTTTTTTCTATCGATAATGTTTTGACGTAGATAGGAAGTGTAAACACTGTATAAGGAAGATGTTTTACAATTATTTGTGCGTGTCATTCGTGGAAGATATCTCCAATCATTGACTTCAAAAAATAAATTGATGTAATACAGGTACAAAGCAAAGTAAGTAGAGGTATCCCTGTAAAATGCCGTGGAAACCAATAGGGTTGTGAGATGTTGAGGTTCCCACAGTTTCTAGACAATCGGCCCACAGATGGCGGTAAGGTTGCCAGCCTTACGCGCTTCCACCCTTTACCCCCAAGATTATCCTGATACTCAATTCTGTTAGAGGCTGAGACGACCCCAGGGACATAGTATGGCTGGAAGGATTAGGTAAACTGAAAAAATCCACCGCATCGGGATTCGATCCCGCGACCCTCCGGCTTGTAGCGTAGTGCCTCAACTAACTACGCTACAGCGTGCCCCTAAATGAAGTGCCAACAACACGTGGTGTTCCCCAGCTGTCAACCATCCAAGTACTAACCACGCCCAATGTTGCTTAACTTCGGTTACCGGACGAGAACCGGTGTTTTCAATATGGAATGGCCGTTAGGTATGGCAAGGAATAAGAGGGAGAGAGCGGGAGAAATTGATAGTACGGACGTTTATACAGAGTGTTCAAATGTTTGCAGGCTTTAAGGGAATACGGTACTTACCAAAATGAGAGAAGAAGACCCAGTAAATATGTTTCCAAAAATTATTGTTAAATGAGACATGTGGGAGTTCTTAGGAAGTTCGCTTCTTAAGAAGAGAGAAAGAAGTTCAAAGAAGAAGTATGCAAAATATTTTAGCTTCTGAAAATGTCAGTGTTCCTCATACCTCGAGAATTTTCCACGAACACTCACTCTACCCATACTACTCGTACATCCAGCGAATGAAAGGCTTACTCCTCCTGACCATTGTGCAAGGTTGGTATTTTGCCACTGGCTTCTTGCAAAATGCGTTGCAAACATATAGTTTGTAGCTAATATCCTCTTTACTGATAAGCTAAGATTCACAAAGAACGGTATTGCAAACTTTCGTAATATGTTCTTATTGTCCTACATATGTAATTAAATTCACTCAATTTCCTCTCTAGCTCTTTATTCTCAATCACTAGAAAACACCGTAAGTAGTTAAACATTTTCTTCTTCTGAAGGATTATTACATATAAGAGCACGAATATCTCATGAGTGTTTTCCTTTTAAAAGCCATTACTTTGGTTTTATTTGTTAATAACATTATACTACAAGCAACTTTAGCTATTGCAATGGAATATTGGAATCGTAGTAGAATTTACTAGTGTGTTCTTCTAAAAAACCAGTATTAAAATAAATAAACACTGGCCAGGCATGCACTGTCTTCACTCGCTAGGAAGCCGGGATCGTGGATTCGAATACCACTCAGGGCATGGATGTTTAGTTTGTGTGTGTGTGTGTGTGTGTGTGCGCGTTTTTCTCTGTTTGTGTACAGGTAGAGGCCCTGCGACGAGCTGTTCACCCGCCCAAGGAGTCCTACCGAATGTGTAAGATCTAGAAAACCAAAGTGAACGGAGAAGTTCGTGGAGGTAGGCCTAGGCCCACTGGGGCTGTAGTGCCAAGAAAAAAAAAACACTGGTCAATTTGGAAATACTAAGAGACGAATAGCTGATCACAGTGACTGCGTGGACTAAGGCATGAAATTTCTTCGCTCGCTCGATCGCTGGGATCGTGGGTTCGAATTCCACTCAAGGCATGAATGTCTGTTTGCGTTTATTCTGTTTTTGTGTTGTTCTGTGTGTAGGCAGAGGCCTTGCGACGGGCTGATCTCCCGTCCAAGGAGTCCTACGGAATGTGCATAGGATTAAGAAACTGAAAAAGGGACCAAGGTGAAACAAAGGGCTGTAGAGTCATTATAATGATAACAGACGAACACAGGTAAGTGTATAAGTGTCCAATATCTGGTGATGGCTTAATGAGCTGACTGTACAGTGTGCCCATACTACAAGTTGTGGTGATTGAATAAAAGAAAGAAAAGTAAGGTTGAAGAAAACTATTCAACAAGAAACCCTTCTCTTGTATTTGCTAGTATGTTAAATTACCGTTAACAGAAAGGGTGAAATGTTGCAGGCAGAGAGTGTGAGGGATGCGGCCTGGAGATGTGACTGGGTGGGGATGCCTGTCTCTTTCCAGCGCTGCCTCGTCTTCATCACAGCCATGGCCAGCAAGGGGTTTACCCTCACAGCTGGGAAATTCGTTCCAGTGTCCAGGACCACAATGCTCAATGTACGCATCATTTTTTTTACTTCACGCAAAGAATGCAATGCCTGACTCGATCTAATATTCATAGTTCCTGGAGTTTCGTATTCCGACTTACTCACTCATGGAGATAAGTCCTTCTTGAGAAGCTGCCAATTGTGCAGCCACTCAAGAACTTCCCAGCGTTTTATCTAGTCCGAAGGTTCAAAGTGTTCACAAGAGCGCTCCAACGGTCCCTATACTGAGCCAGATTAATCTAACCCATACCATCCCATCCTATCTCTCTAAGATTCATTTTAATACTAGTATTTTCCACCCACCTACGCCTTGGTGTTCCCAGTTGTCTCTTTCCTTCGGGCTTTCCCATCAATATACTATATGCATTGCTCTTCTCCTCAATTCATGCTACATGCCGTGCCCACTTCATCCTCCTTGCCTTGATCATTCTAATTATATTTAGACAAGAGTACAAGTTACGAAGCTCCACATAATGCAGTTTTCTCCAACCTCCCGTCATCTCATCTATCTTCGGTCCAAATATTCCCCTCAACACGCTGTTCTCAAACACCTTCAGTCTATGTTCCATACCCATACAGAACCACAGGCAAAATTGTAGTTTTTTATGTTCTGATTTTTATGTTTTTGGACAATAGGCGAGAAGACAAAGTATTCTGGACTGAATGGTAGCAAGCATTGCCCGAAATCAACCTCTTAATTTTTTCCTTAACCAGGTTTTGGTTCGTTTATCCACAGGATCCGTCCAGGTATGAGGCTTCGTTTCGTATTCCAACAGTTTCATAAATGTAAGATTTGAGGCTTTCACGGAGGTGACTATGAAGAAAGCAGTCCTCTGGGATTTGGCACCGTGTATATGTGGTGTTAACCGACGTTTCGGAGGAACGTATCGCCTCCATCTGCTTTTACCGGTTCTCACGGTCTCTTCGCTTGCAGATTTCTTATATTTTTTCTTCCACCCTGAAGATGGAGGCGATACGTTCCTCCGAAAGGTCGGTTAACACCACATATACACGGTGCCAAATCCCAGAAGACTGCTTCCTTCAGTTTCATAAATATTCATTTTTCTTCTCACTACGTTGTCCGTAATCGAAATTCGTAAATCTACAGCAGAGGTATGACATGCCGACAGACGGACCTATATATTCTGCATTTCCATAATTCTCAATAATATTGTATTTAAACACCCTACAGCATCAGTTGATCACTTGGCATATACGTATTGATACACATACATAGACCTCCAGTCCGGCTTCACAGGTTACTGATTGAATTACAACTTAGTCTACATTTTCATGTAGATTTAACGACATGTTTCGGCAACACAAGGACATCATGAGTTACATATGACTGCATGCCTAAATAATTAGACCGTAAGATGGCGAGGGCTGTTGTCAGATATAGAGTCGACAATACGTAGATGTGGTTTGGATTTGAGAATGGATTCATTGACCACTTAAACACACGACTTCGAACTACAAGCAATTACACCGCCACCGCTAAGCTCCACAATTCACAAATCACCACAACACCCGCTAAGCTATCTCCATCCCTCTGTATTCACCAGCCATTCCCAGGCAACGGCTTCTAACAGCGGAGATTCTTCAGCTTCATGCGCTCAAATCCTCTCTTCACAGACTCCCATACAGAACAGATTACTGACCATCGATTGACTAAGTTCCAACCTTGTCTCTTTCTTATAACATCTCTGTATGGATACAGCAGGAAACACAGATATTTCGTTGTTACATTCGTGTCTGTTATTGCATGAACGTGTTTACCGAGCCGTTGTCCAGAAACGGCCCTGATATATCTGCCCATCTAGCTGTTGCTGCATAGTAACGGATCTACACGCTGCAATACAAATCAAATATGTACCTGGAAAAATTTAATATACAATTTTTAAATTAATTAAGAGACACACACTGGCGACCGGAAGACACGTAATTTTACAAAAAAAAAATTAGTCGTTTCTTCATAGTTATCAACGATGCTACACACAAGGATTCAAATTTGACGAAATTATACACAAGTTACTTGTTATCAAATTACACTTTGGTCACTTCACAATCTCTACAAGCACACACGTGTTATATTTCAATACTGTAGTGTTAGACACAGCAGAACACATTCTGTTGAACAGTGATTTACACAAGATTACCGAATAAAGTTGGATTTAGCAGAAGACTGTCAGCAACTGTTTGTTCTATATAGCAGTCAAAATAAAGGTCTTCAAGACCAATATCGAAACTGAGTGTCTACTGTCGAGCGGCCGAGTTCCCGGAGTGGATACTATTATATCTTTTGAACTCAAAAACTGTCTTAAATTAAATAAATTAACATAATATTGTCATGAAAGGGAGTAGAAGGTGTTTGGACATGAGATTGAATTTATTGACCGCTTTAACAAACGACTCGTGGATACAGTTAATTATAGTGCCAACGCTGATTTCCACACTTTAAAAAACACTACATCACCCGCTAAGTCTTTTTAGTCTGCTGTCTTCACTAGTCGTTCCCTGGTAATAGCTTCTAACAGCTCTCACTTCGTTACCAGCTGGCTCTCAGCTGCACCGACTACATCTCCTTTTCACAGACTCCCTTACAACCGACTGTGAAATCTTCAGAGTCAGAGTCAGAATCAGAGTCAGAGTTCCTTTACAAGAGATGGGAAACCGCCAAGCAGTTCATGTTGGTAATAAACACCTTGAGATACATGACCGCTAATTTTATTTTCCAAATGAACATTCGCGATTATAGTCCTTATGTAACATCCTCTCTGACGAGAGGATGGGTCTGTCGTTTACCATATTTTACTATCTCAAATTCGAGACCCCCCCCCAGTACCTGGAGGCATAGGTCCCCATATTTCCCCCCGGAACAGAGTGGCCCGGTTATACCCCAAGGCACTGGGCTCCCTTTTCTTCTCCTCCCACGACTCGAGAGTCTCTTGCCCCAGTTGTCCTTATATCTCGATATAGACCGCCTACAAAACACCGTTCATTGTTGTACTTAGTCGTTTCCTGGGGAACATGTTTGTTTGCGAAAGCGTTGCTTAACAACGGCTGCCTATACTTGCATATTAAGAATCTGCTGCCCAGCAGCGGATGTTGTTTCGTTGTTTCTTTCGAGGTCGTTACCCAGTAACGGGTACCTGTCCGAGTATATGCAGTTACATTCAAATTGGTTCTTACTTTAAGCTTCCCTCATAGTGTCGTCCTCTCATTTGTTTCCGAAAAGAGAAATCAGTCAACAATTTGGAGTTATGCATGTTATTCTACCATGTCCCAATTACATGAACCATAGAAAACAGTCGCTCTATAGTTGACGTTTGTTTACCGAGCCGTTGCTTAGCAACGCTCTGTCCATCACGTTACATTATTTTAGTGCCAATTTGTCTGTCCTGAACCCTTTTTATTGAAGATTAAGTGACTGCTTGCTCATGTTCTCAGGTCATCAACCAGACTTTCTCGTATCTAATGTTCCTAATGCAAGTGAAAGACAAGGAGAAAGAAGATGCATGAGCTATCGCGAGGCACACGCTGAGGCGCTCTTCTGATTGCACCCTGCACTCTTTCACGTTCTGCAGATAGTAAAGTGGACTTTCCAAAAAACGATGAAGACACAAATACAACTATAACTATACTTCCATCTAATTATCTTCCTTTTCCGTGTATTGTAACATTACTGCGCTGCTGAGCGATCATAACAGAGTTATTATCTGAAAACCTGTAATTGTTCAGGATATATCAAATTTATATTGCAATCAATTTATAATAGATTATTTTGAATTGTTTCATTTTTGGTCCGTTACACTATCAATCACAAAGTCAATAGAAAGTCCTTCGAGTGTAACAATGTTTTTNAGTGTTTTCATGTGTTTGTAATATGTGCCTCTGATGATGGTTTTCTTAAACCGAAACATGTAAGGCAAGTGAGATAAAGAAGTGACCTAAAAACATTGTTACACTCGACGGACTTTCTATTTATTTTATAATAGATTAATTTTTTTTAATTTTATAATTGATATTTGTTGTTGATTAGCAGCGGCGTTCAGTATAAATTGTATTATTTACACATTAAACAGTAATTTTAATAGAAATGTAATTAATATATGAGTATGTTGAATATAATTATTATTCCTTTGGAAATTCTTCCAAGTAAACAGGCCATTGCCTTTTCATGAGTGACTTAAAATAAAAAATAATTAATATTTGTCAGTAAGTCACACTAGTAAATGACCAGAGCCACTAAGTCCAATTTAGAAATAACTAAAATTAAAATAGTATAATTAATATAATGTTTGTCGCCAGAAGTAGATTGGTTACCTTAAAAGATTTTACTTCGTGGAGCTGCGACAAATTTGTTTCGCATGTAAACGTCAAGAACACGTGTTTACTCTGCCGACACCTAACCATAAGAGATGTTTATGTCGTGATGAAACTTGATAGCCAATGTAAAGAAAGTAATTGATTTGTCGGTATAAAATCTAAAGACTACCTCAACTTAAAAATTAAAACCAATCAGAGGACAACTTTTGTGAACAAAGTCAGTTTGAGTTTTCATAGCGTCATAACGCTACAACAACTAAGACAGTCTCTTTCAAGTTCTTGAAATGGCCGGATGTAGGCGCTTCATCTCCATTAAACAGTCAGCTTAAAGAAAGCAGTCTTCTGGGATTTGGCACCGTGTATATGTGGTGTTAACCGACGTTTCGGAGGAACGTATGGTTCTCACGGTCTTGTCGCTTGCAGATTTCTTATACTTTTTCTTCTACCCTGAAGATGGAGGCGATACGTTCCTCCGAAACGTCGGTTAACACCACATATACACGGTGCCAAATCTCAGAAGACTGCTTTCTTCACAGTCACCGCCGTGAAAGCCTCAAATCTTACACAGTCAGCTTAAAGTTTTCAAAACAGACAGGGGTAAATTCTTTCTTAAGATTTCAAAGCGTAAAATTGCAAACACTGTCATCAAGCACATTTTAAGTTGAGTATTATGATTTGTAAATGTGTGCGAGTAGCAGTGAAGCAATACATATTGACTGGGTAACTATCAAAGAAGTTGACAGACCACCAAAGCGTTTGCCTTTGCCTGCCCAAGTAGTATTTTCCGAATGACAAAAAATGCTAGTGCCATAGAAGCCCCAGTCTGGCTTCGAGACTATCGAATAAAATGTACATCACATGAAGCATCTGGTGTGGACAGACTGAGGTCCCCAGGAGATGGGAAATGACCAGTAGTAGACCCCTCCTCTTGTAGAAGGAGAGGCAACATTTCAGAACAATTTTAAATTTTGGAAAGAACCAAAAAATATGGCCATGGGTCCTGCCGGGTCCCGAAACCAAGACTGGCTGTGCTGGTTGAGGGACAGCAACAATAAACCCAACCCGACAACGTCCATTGTTACGTGAACAAGCACAACATTTCCTGAACCCGCGTCTGAATGTCTGTGGTAAACGAGTGCGGAGCAATGGCGACAGCGTGACCAGTAAAGTAAAATCAATTAAATTCAAAGAAAAAATTGATCTACTGCCATTTCGTCAACCACACATCTCACGTAAATTCACCAAGGATTGAACTCGAGGCACCATGAAGACAGAATTCAGAGTCCAACGGCCTGAGCTATGTGTCACTATTTAATTCGTTCTCATCAACGTCATAATTGGTTCCGCAAACACGCTAGACTGTTCCTGTTTTCCGTACCTTATTCAATAACAATATCCAAACTTTATATGTTGTATAATATGCATCATCGAATGATAGGACGATTAAAATAAAACAAACACAAACTCTGTGATTTTAGTCGGCAAGCGAAATATACCGAACGACCGAGCGACCGTCGTTTGTCGGCGAAGTTAGTGCCAACTTTGACGGATAGAGAGTGTCGCGTGGTCAGCGCAACGAATCCCCACGGCCGTTCATTACGGTTTTCTAGAACGGAGCCGCTGTTTCCTTGAAATAGCTCCTCAATTATCCTCACGAGGCTGGGTGGACCCCGTTCCAAGCGCACTACTCAGAAAATCTGGTAGCGCCGGGAATCGAACCAGGACCTCTGGATCTGTAGGCAGGAACTCTGACCACTAGACCATAGAGGCGATCAGCGAATGATAAATTGGGAAGTATGTGGAATGAAGTCGTCGTGACCTACTTTAATGCATTCCCCGCATTTTGCTGGAGTGAGTGAAGAAAAAAGCTCCCTTTGAATATCCGAATTTTGGCAGAGAATCAAACTCAGGATCTCCTGAATAAAACAGAAGTGCTAACCGCTTACCCAGTATTTCAATAGGGCGCACATATTTTCAGTACAGATTACAATAACTTCAGATTGAAGAAGTCAATATTCCTGTTGTTCAGAAGCTAACTTGAAGTAGGATAATTACAGTAATTATTTTTCTAATTATATTCATTTTCTTTCTGTTAAAAGAACGTGTTAAGCCATGGTAATTACTTTCAAATTTCACTTGATCACGCAAACCAACAAATTCTTAGTAACCACACCAGAATGTATTAACTCGTTTGTTCTACAGTTTCAGAAAGCACTCTCTCTGTACTTAGGTCAGTCGTACATAAACTCGGTCTTCTGTCACAAGAACTTTAACGTGACAACGATAACATCGAAGCTGCTATCCTAAACAGTTAACTTATTGTGTAATATACTTCACACACAATGACTCAAGATAATTTTCAGGAAGAACAGTCAAATTTTGAGAGACTTTTTTATTTTTATTTGATATGGTTTCGTCTCGCGGGTGTTCCATTAAAATCATACAAAGAATCGAAGCTCTATGATCTCTACTCCACAGTCATTTTGCTAAATGCATACTCGGTTGTCATAACAATGTCTGCGGATGCAATTCTGCACTTCGACGATTTGGAGCGGATTATGGAGAATTCCAGGGTCATAGTTCCAGCTTCAAGCTCGCTCTGGGTTCATCTGTGTCTCAGGTAACCCAAATTCAACGAGGGTGCCTGACAATTGCTAATGCAGACAACAATACCAAGCTTAAGGAAATGTGCCCTTACGGTAGCACGTGTCTGTGTGTATGTTACCTTTAGTAAATTCAGGGACAGCTGACTGATCTTCATGAAATTTCCTACCGGTATTCTGCCACTCCATTTTTGTAATTTATAATTTCTTAGCATTAATAACATGAATATGCTACATCGCGAAAATTGCAACTTGAAACTTACACTGTGCCACTCAGTGTTCTTCTAATTTTGTGGCAATAAAGCAAAACCAGTATTATAGCGTAAGATTAAATTCTATAGATTTCCAAAATGATGGTGGTAAAGAAATAGACAAACATGCAGAACTCCACGAGAAAATAGATCATAGACATATAGTATATAAGTATATAACGAATCATGTTCTATGTTTCAACAATTAGAAATATGACGAAAGTGTGAAATTTGATGTTATAGCTCTACTGAAACATTATCCACACACTAAGAATTTATTCGTATAAATAAAACTCTGTTGCCTATAGTCCGCAATCAAACTATACCGTCCGAGCGACTGTCGCTTGTCACGAAATAGAGAACAAAATTGAATAAAATATTATAATTTCCTCTACTCATTAAAGCATTTTAAGGGCGGCAAACCGCTTGAAAGAAGCTTCATTTTTTGTATATACGTGCATATTCAGGCCCTGCCCCTTTCATAAATACAGCGCACTGCTTACAAATTTCGTAGCTCTGTCCATAGAACCGAAAACAATAACAAAATATATGTAGTTAGAGAGGTGTTAATAGTGATGTGACTACTAAAATTACAAAGCTAAATTTATGATATTCCTAATTACATAATTGTAAAGTTGTCTTTAGAGAATGTATTTCTAATTGTAAAACAGTTGTAAATTGTAAAACATGAACATGGCCGTATGGTTCAAACCACCTCCATGTCTGCCAGAAATTTCCTGCTCGACATAAAAATATTATTTATTTCTTAAATAAATTTAATAATAGAAAACGCTTGGTGACAAAGAAACCAACATTCTGCCAGTAGAATAGCTGATTTTTTACCTGTAAGAAAGTAAATATTTTGTCTACTAATTTATTAATTCCCCTCTCTGAAATTAAGCCATTTACACAAAACTGGCCCCAGGCAAAGTAACAGGATTTCCCTGAAGTAATAGGAAATACAATCTGACTTCTGCTTCTTAATTCTGACATTTGAACATTTTGTCTCTGACTTGTGAGTGGTGATGAGAAGCCACATGAACAGAGCGACCTAATGAGGGCTTCCGTTAGTGAATATCGTGAATACATCACTGCGGCTCAACTGCTACGTTCTTACGTTTGAAATGCCACATGTAAACTATATTAATCTCAAAATTCAGTAAAATTCAAACAATGTACACTAGATTAAAATTCTTAAACAAATAATTTGTACAATTATAGATTTCTTGAACATTTTTCATCTTGTTTTTATTTATTATATTACTTATATATTATATTATTTGTTACATTATATATTTTTGGACATTATCCATCGTCCTGTTTCTATTTAAATTAAATT